CTGTCATCCATTATGCCTTCCTGTGTGTTGCCTTTTGGTATTACGACTCATGGAAGTTGAGAGATGCCATTCACGGTGGATAGCATTGAGCGTGGTCATGTGCTGTGTGTATAAGAGCCACACGATTCAGAAGCTCCGTCTTTGAAACCTCTTTGGAGGATCTCTCTTGAACTTGTAATCTTTCCACGCTTTCTTGTGATGGTTATCCTCTGTTATGGAGGCCATCTTGAAGTTGTTCCGAACATTCTTATCCTCAGTCTTCCACATATACGGGGCAATGAAGAGGAAATGGTTGCCGTTCAGTACCTGGGACTTGACAGAATTTTCCAAATCTTGGTACTCTCTCATCTTTCCGACGAAGTAGTTCTCAAGGTCGTCTTCTGTTTCTATGAATGTGCTTGGATCTGGGATGAGCTCTGCGATTTTCAACAGTTGGAGAGCCTTTTGTAGTGGGACTCTGTAGAGAAGGAAAGAATTCATTGGTCTTGGAGCTGTGCCTCTTTTATCTGCCTTTCTAGGTTTGCTCTTGACAAAGGTAGTACCCTTGAGGTCCATTTTAGAGGACCGAAACTGCTTGAAATTGATCAATGGTTGCATCCACTCAGGAGCACATGCTTCGGGCGAGTCGTAGCCATTAGAAGTACCAACAACGAGTGTTACAGAACCATTATAGTTGTCCAGCACCACCACCTTTCTCAACTTATTTATTGATCCATTCTTGACCTCCTTCAACCCGGAACAAATCGCTTTCAGTTTCATCATAACGTTCTTCTGTCTGAAGAGGTTGAGTATCCCCATAACCTGTTCATCAGTCGGACGGAAAGGTTTCTTGGAATCGTTTCTCACAGAGTCGACAATCTTTGCACAACGTTCATCGGTCAGTGGAGAAAGACAAATCCGTGTATACTCATTAGGGACTACCCTCACATCGGTGTCCAACATTCTTAGACACCCAGACACAGTATCATCCACAGAATTCACATTCTCAGTTTCAGTATAATCAGAGCCACTAGTCGAAATAGCATCATCAACCACTGCATCTTCATTCTTAACGACAATATCGTCACTCCCCAAGGTGTACAGAAGCGTTTCAACGTCATCTGTAAAGCTCTCACCTAAGAAAGAGGTCCTCTCATCAACAAAAGCGTACTCATTGAAGTCAAAGAACTGGTCAAATTCAGATTTGATATGGATATCACCAATGGTGGCATCTAAATCATCCCTTGAAGGATTCACCTTGAGCTGAGTCAGACGATCCCCAAACTTCCAATGGATTCCCACAAACTCGTCGGATTTGAAATTGGAGAGCATCTTATCGGACCTAGATTTTGATAAGGAATCAACGGAGGTGAATATCTTGAGCGACACAGGTCAATACTTATACCCAAGGTCGTCGAAGAAAAGGAGATGACACTCTTTTATATATGTGCAAGAGTGGAACCCCACTATAGAGAGTTCAGCATTTCACCTTGGGTCCTCACTCAGGCGTTCCAGAGCTGGTTTGGGTGTAAGTATTGGCAGGTGTTATCTAGAGAGCCTGAGTTCCAGTGACTCTGCATAGCTGTTAGCTGGCAGAAGCCTAAATTCCTGGTATATTGCATCATTCCAGGCTCAGAGTGAATCTATTTTTAAGCAGTTTAATTCAGGGAAACACAGATCGTGTGCTTTCACACAACAACGTCAAAGATATGGAAATCAAGTAGAATAACGAGAACAGCATTTCAATTGTTCCAGTTTTCGAAAAGGCATCACAACAGCTGTTTCCTCTGCGACTCTGCATCAACACACATAAATGTACATCCACTTTATAGGTGAATAGTTTTAGACACACCTACCACACGTTGAGGGTTTAGCACAGACTACTGGACCTGACAGGAAAGGCTAACATAATTTGAGCGATTTTTCACTATTTGATCCATGTTAAGAGCTTAGTTTTAGCACGCTGCAGGTAATGACTTATAACTACTCATAGTTTGAGGCATGAGGAGCGTATACAGTCAAAGGAAGTCGTGAGCCAAGATCGCAATTTACTGAAAAGGCAGAGTCTTAGAATGGAAAATTTGGTAAAAAAATGGGACGGAAGGTTTAAGGGTCCAGTCAGTGCCTCTGAGTGGACCCAACAGGTGTGAGTTGTACAAGAATGGGACAGTACACACGGTGGAATGAGAGTGATTTCTTTTGAGTTTAGTAGATAACACCTTCCTTGTTAGGTTTGACGCACATAATTCCTGATATTTGAACAAGGTCCTGACGTGTAAACTGTTTAGGAATACGTGTCTATCACAATATACCACTTTAACCTTCCTTGACCAATACTTATTGATATCATCATACGCCAGAAGCTTTCCCTTCAACGCCAACATTACAGCTGTGGTACGAGAACAAAGCTTATTAACGTATAGCTAACAAGCTCAGAAACTTTGTCCTTGTTATTTTTATACACTGTTAACATCATTGGCTCCTCAGAACCCATAAGTTGGCATCACAATCCAAGGTATAATTTTGGGCTGCAGGGAGTGTACACATTGCATTCTGAAACAACTCAGCTATTTATACAATTGGGTCTATTTTTAATACTCGCAATATACTGTGATCTACTCATATTGTACACTTAGAGTGTATGCACCGACCATTTGATTCCACATTTGATTCCACAATTGATACAACTATGCCAATTGAGAGGTGAGCCAACACTGCCATCAAATCATGTGTCCAGAAACATCCAGACACCAAACATTTGACATATCCCCTCATCTTATCTTTTGCTTCAAGTG